AACCCACTGAGCCACACCAGCCAGGGCTAAAACTGAAAAAAAATGATTTGGTTTGCAAGTCAGATATAAACACATGAAAGGGTAAAAAAATGTGGTGTGTGTGTTATTCACCTTTCACATTTTGCGCACCCTTTCATTGAAACTTTATAGGAAACGCATTTACTAAACTCACAACAAGAGACTATCCAAAATATCAGAAATGCACATGGTATACTTACCACAGAAAGTTACCAGCCAAAGTAAAATGTTTGTAGCAACAGGAATATTGCTAACTCAAAAACTTAATCATTATATTGTTGTGTTTTGCTTGAATTGCAATCTACCAACTGGGAAGCTTTCCTTGGATTTCTAGTTCTTTCCAGCGTTAAGATCCTATCATTGCATCTCTCTGCAAGATGCTCTGTCTTTTCAAGCATACTTTCTTTAGAGTGCAAGTCAAGCAGAGAATGAGGTCATTATGCTGCTTTATTCATCCTACTCAGTATGGCAGCATGAAAACGCAGAATGAGGAACCTGAAATATAGGTGTGAAATGGGCTATAGCTGCATATTTTAGAGAAGTTTTCAGAAGTATCTCATGTGTGGTGAGATATCCCCCACGTGGACTCTCAGCCTGAATCTAAACTGGGTCTGTTGCTGGGATTCAAGTATGTTTGGGCATGTCTGGCAGACTGTGAGTCAGGACTGAAGGAGACCTGCTGACACAGGGGCTGAGACTGCTTCCTAGAACAGAGCTCATTTTAGTGGTAGAGAGAATTAGACAGAGAAGCCCTATAAGAAAGACTCAGTCATTGGATGGGGAGTAATAAATACAGCTTGGGGCAGCTATTACTCAAATCTGTCGCCAATCTAGGCCCATGAAAGCATGTCTGGGTTCCTAAGAGAAGTGGAGCTCTGAGTAAAAACATAAAGACCTGTTTCACTGAAAACTGTATATGATCTTGGGCACAAGCAGCCTGCTTTGGGGTTCCCCTAAAAGAAGTCAACACAATGATCTCTATTTCTTCAGGCTACACCATGACTTTGGCTGTTTTGTTTGTATCACAGGCCCTGGTAGGAAGGAGTCTGTAGTACCTAGAAGAGCAGAGCAGGAGGAGGGGGCACCGGGAGAGAGGAGTGTCTGAGCAGATGAGGACCCCCCCACCCCCCTACCCCACCAACTAGGGGCTCTCAGAAAGCGGGAGGTATCCTCACTAAGGTGGTAGGCTTGGTAGGTAGGAGAACCAGGGATATTTGGTAATTGTTGCTCTATCTGACCCATTCGTTCTGAGGTCAATGAGTCTAAATGCTATTCATAATCAAACAGCTCTCATGCAATGATATGTTATTGGGTAATTTATATTGATGTGTGGAATCACACACTCTCCAAGCTAGAAGGAGGAACTACAGAACAGGAAATCTCCGTCTATGAATAACAAGTTTTTGAAAAAATTTCCCTGTGGACTGACATTTTTGCAAAATATGTACAAGTGAGTTACTGCAATAATAAAATAATGAAATAAAAAATATAAGCCCTGATTTTTATTAGATACAACAGACATCAAATTACTCTGCCAAGCTGTGCTCAACAGTTTCAATGAATACCTAACTGCAGACCCGCGATGAACAGGCCCTGTGGGCACTGCGCTGCGGACCATGCGTCCTGTACTTTTGTGGACTTCTCACCTGGTGCCACCGGGAAAAACTCCACCACCTGGCGGTCTTGCCTCTAGTCACACACATTAGTGAGTGGGATAAAGACACTGTGACACTGTGGGCATGCAGGAGAATGCCCTTGTTCTTTTTTTTTTTTTAAGATTTTAATTTATTTATCTTTAGAGGGGAAGGGAAGGAGAGAGAGGGAGAGAAATATCAATGTATGGTTGTCTGTCATGTGCCCCCTGCTGGGAAATGGCCTGCAACCCAGGCATGTGCCCTGAATGGGAATTGAACTGCGTTCCTTTGGTTCGCAGGCCCACGCTCAATCCACTGAGCTACAACAGCCAGGCCCTTGTTCTAAATAGATGTGTACAGAGTAAGATGTCTGCAACTAAATAAAGACGGTGGGAGAGAGGCAAAGGGAGAGTGGGGAGAAGTAGGAGGGGAAGAGACTGGAGAGAAGGAGAGGGAGACAGAGGGACGCAGCCTGCACAAATGGCAAAATGTTAGTAATTGATGAGTCTACACAGGTGTACAGGTGTTTATTATCCAATTCTTTCACATGATCAGAATTTGCAATTTAAAAAAATTTCCAATGATGGGAAGCACCTTTTTGTACAAAAAGCCAGTTCCAAGATAGCTCATTTTACTCTTCAATATGTGACTGCAGCTCCTGCCTTCATCTGCAGCTTCGACACCTGCTGCTACCACGTGTCTCATCTCCATTCGCTTGTCACTCTTTTCACCATATCTCCTGCACATGGCATACCTTTACAACATAACTTTAATCATACGACACCTTTTAAAATATATCTTGGTAGATGCCTGTCTTTCAAAGTCAAACTTTTCATTCAAGATTTTCTGCAATCTAATCTTTAACTTTTTTTTAGATTTCTATCTTCGCTTTCTCATATTTAACACAAAAAAATTTCATGCTTTTCCCTGTTATTGCTTCTCAGTTCTAGAATTTCCCCTCACACAGAATTCAATTCTATACACTCTTCAAGATCAAGCTCAAATTAAATAAGTTGAGATGTAGTTATATATCTTACCACACACATTGATTTAAATCCTACATTCTTCATGCAGTTTTCTTTGATTAATGGCCAAATGTTAATCCTAATGTCCAGGGCTTACCCCAGTGCCTGGCACATACATTTAATACAGTACGTACTTTCAGTTAAACTCTCCATCGCAGAGATGTTCAATTGGAGCGCCACAAGAATTTTTAAAACATCCAATACCTGACTGTTTAGTTGGGACACTGAACTCTTTTCCAGTAGATTGTCAGATATAAAAATGACAACAGCCAACACAACAATAGCCATCGGTGTGTGAATGAATCAAAATTATACCTACTTTTTTTCTGTCACATTAGCAAAAAATGACATATTTTTTAGTGTGCCACAGAATTTTATTAATTAGTTTATGTGTCATTAGATGAAAAAGGTTGAAAATCATTGCTCTGATAGTTCTTAAATTACAATACAGGATGATAATATATTCCTTGTCTATCTCAAAGAGTGGCTTTAAGGTTAAAATGTTTGAGGTTAGTATTTTGCATTGTACATGTCTGAAGGTATCTATAAACCATAATGCCTCATACTCTTGTTTACTCATTTATTTATTTATTTTGCTTTCCCTTGAAGCAACCCATGCAACATACAATAGCTGAGCCGAGGCCTAAGGCAGCAAACTCACTACTGGGGTAGTCAAGCTATTTGACGACTTTGCAAGACGTTTGTATGTAAGTGAGGATAATCTGTTTTAAAGCAATCAGTTCTCTGAACCTCACTTCCCTTAGGTAGCCATCCCTAAATTAGATCTGCCTGAAAATATGCCCCGAGGTCAGAGTGTAAGCTTCCCTGATTCCCAACTCTCCCTCCCTCCCCTATTTTAAAAAAGAATGGTGTAATTCTCCCCCAGCCCAAATCTTACTAAAAAAGTATATTACCTGGTGGGGAGAGGGTTGATGCAAAACTAACAGGACAAAGAAGAAGCAATTGATTGGAGAAAGAGAATAGGTTGACACATCCTCTTATTAAGTCTGGTGGTTTTCAGTTTTTATTTCAACAAAGTTGAAAGAGAACCTAGTGAGAGTTGTCCTTAAAAGTATTTTTTCTTTGTTAGCTCTTTATGTGATTTTTTTTGGCATATAATTTGGAAGGAGTTCAAAGAATGGCATTACTATAGCAAAACTCCATTCTCATTTACTTGTTTTCATCGACAAGATTTTCTCCATACTTATGTCTGTCCGTGGAATTGAAAACTTTTAATAGAATTGATGATGAACCCATTTTCATTCTGGAAATACTCACCCACTAATAAAATAAACTGGTTGCAAACAATTCACATAATTCCATCTCTGTAACATGCATCTCCAACAAAATTTTATTTTTATGTTTAATATTTACTTCCGAATATTTATGATATATTTATCATCTGAAAAAATAAGACAGTTTTATGATCACAGGTAGTTGAAAAACTACCCTTAAATTTCAATTTATATACATACACCTCGCTTTTGTTTACTAAAAGGAAATATAAGATAATCAATTAAACAGTTCAAAGATAAAATATATTATTAGGATAAACTCTGGAGGGGGCGTGAATACAAAAGTTTAGTTCCAGAAGATAAAGGATGAAAATTGACCAAGTATAAACGATTGTAGTTGAAAAAGTAGGTATTAGTGGTTAATAAATCTCTATGGTATTTAGAATTCATTGCCCACATGTTAAAAGGTGTGAGTTATAAAATATTTATAACGAGCTGGAAAAAAATGGAGATGTCACTTTAAACTGTATAAGGATGTCCAAAATTACTTTAAAGGACTCATGAGCCAAAAAGTTTGAAGACATAGAACATTAAAGATGTGCTTGCTCCGAGACTGTGATTTAACTATTTTCTGAGGGAGTCAAAGGCAGGTTAGAGTAAAACCTGTGGCTCAGTGTGGTGCATAAGGATTTAGTACCTTGCATTGTGTTACTTATTGTTACTCATTTTAATGGCCTCTCCTCGTAGATTGTAAGCTCTCAGAAGACCAGCGACTTGTTCGATTTCTGGCTCAGTGCCTGTCCACTGGGGACACTCCCCAAACACCCCCGGAATGAATGACTTTCTCGTGAGAACTCGGAGGGCTGTTAAAATCCCCGGCTGGCACTCAGGTTTTGGTTCTGCGTGTTGCGCCCGCTGAGAGGCCGGGGAAAGCGTGGGAAGGGCCGAAGGAAACTCTGAGTACTCTGCGGGAGGGGAAGGGAGGGGCGGGGCGGGGCGGGGCGGGGCGGAGGCCCTGCCGGGACCGTGGTAGGGGCTCGGCGCGGAATCCGCGGCGAGATGCCACTTCGCGTCTCCGCGCAGGCGCGCAGCTGTCTCCGCGTGAGTGCTGTCCCCGCGCGGGCTCCGTAGCGCGTGTGCAGGCTGACGCAGCTCCCGGGCCCTCCTCTTGCTCTGCAGCGGCGTTGGCGGAGTTTTGGGCGTTTGGGAGGGGGCGAGGGAGCCAGAGTCGAGAGAGGGAGGCGGTGGCGGCGGCCGGGAGGAGGAGGAGGAGCAGGCGCCGCCATGGCCGCCGCTATCACCGACATGGCCGACCTGGAGGAGCTCTCCCGCCTGAGCCCTCTGCCCCCCGGCAGCCCTGGCTCAGTGGCTCGTGGCAGGGCTGAGCCCCCGGACGAGGAGGAGGAGGAAGAGGAGGAAGAGGAAGAGGAGGCGGAGGCCGAGGCTGTGGCGGCGCTGCTACTGAACGGCGGTGGGGGCGGCGGAGGCGGCGGCGGAGTGGGGGGCGGCGAGGCAGAGACGATGTCGGAGCCAAGCCCCGAGAGCGCCAGCCAGGCTGGGGAGGATGAGGATGAAGACGAGGAGGAGGATGAGGAGGACGAGAGCAGCAGCAGCGGTGGTGGCGAGGAGGAGAGTAGCGCTGAGAGCCTGGTGGGCAGCAGCGGCGGGAGCAGCAGCGATGAGACTCGCTCGCTGAGCCCCGGTGCCGCCAGCAGTAGCAGCGGGGATGGGGACGGCAAGGAGGGCCTGGAGGAACCCAAGGGACCGCGGGGCAGCCAGGGCGGCGGCGGGGGCGGCAGCAGTAGCAGCAGCGTCGTCTCCAGCGGCGGCGACGAGGGCTACGGGACCGGGGGTGGTGGAAGCAGTGCGACCTCCGGGGGCCGGCGAGGCAGCTTGGAGATGTCGTCGGATGGGGAACCCCTCAGCCGCATGGACTCGGAGGACAGGTAGGTCCCCTGAAGCGTTTCCCTTCTCTTGCACTCCCGGGCCAAGGGGACTTTTTTTGCTGAGATCCCCCTGCTCCCCAATTCTCGGCCCCTCCCCCAGGCTCTCAACTCGGAAATCTCTCCCAGCCGCCCCGCCCCTCTGGCTGCGGATAGCGGCTTCAAACTCTCAAACCATTTTCCCCCCAACTCCCCTTTCCGCGCCCTCTTTCCCCTTGGCTCTGCAGTCCGTACAGACCTAAGGACAGCTCTAACTCGGAAACAACCCCCACAGTAGGCCCAGATCCTCTGTCGGAGCTGAAGAGGCCCTTGATGTACACACCTCAGTACACAAGGTTAGCTTCCACCGTGTTCGCGAACACTTGTCAGAACTAGAATTGACAAGTGTTTTCCAACATGGCTGGTCTCGCTTGGATTTAACAGAACTTCCCCGTTCAGGGAGGAGACCACCCCCCAACTATCACTCTTCTCTACTTAGGAAAGGCTGTTCTTTTATAATTAGTCAGTGTTTCCAGAATAACTCATGTGTGCTCGTTAGTAAGGTCTCCGAAATGATTTAAATAACTTTTGTTTGTTTTGTGTTCATATCTGAGAGAAAGTTTAAAACGAACAAATCATTGTAGAAAAGAAAAATGAATTGATGGCTTTTAAAATAACTTTGCGGAATGAAGTAGAGTTGGAATCGGAACAAAATACAGTCTTGAAGGTACAGCGTAGTATGTGGTTTAATATCTGTGTAGTAATGCTTCGATGTGAGAGGTATGATTTGAGATGATAGTATTTAAAGACATGTATTGGAGAGATCTCTGAAGGAATTAGCATTTTTCTGAAGTTCGTGGAGGTTGACAAATGCGTCTCATTTTTTGGGACATTAAAATTTTGCAGTAGTATGTTTCAGTTGTTATTGATCTCTGGAAAACTTCATACTTTAACTGGTTTTTAATGTACTTTAAAAAACTACTTAATGCATATTATACTGTTAAAATATAGTAGCATTTATTTTGTTAATAAATGTTTTGACGAGCAGTAGAATTTTCAACAATTGATAGTGACTTGGATTTTAAAGTTTTAAGTATTCTGAAGTGCTAGGAATTTTTGTTGTTAACTGATGAAAATGAACACTTTGGTTTAAATTGAACGTAGTTATATGGAATGCAGCGCCTAAATATTTGGGAGGTACAGTACTAGAATCTGACACTTAAATGTCTAGTTCAAACATCTGGGATGTGGTAAAATGGACTGTACGGACCTTAGAAAAAAATGTACTGAATTACGTAGGCATGGCAGGAAGGAGAATGCCTTTAAGAAAATTAAAAATTGATGTGAACTGTGCAATGAAGCATGTGTTATTTATCATTTTATTATATCCTCCATTGGTACTGGTAGATATTTGAAAGTTGATACAGTTTCCACAGTTTTCTTAGTGTACACACACACATTTACAAGTGTTTAGCACGTCACAATTTAAGTGTTCCAGTCATTTCATTCTCAGCTGTAGTGCAAGATAGGTATTATTGATATTTTCCATTTAACAGATGAAGAAGCAAGTTGAGTGTCTCCCTAAAACAGTAAGTATAGAATGGTAGTGGCGGAGCTGAACAAAGGTTCTTGCCTCCTGATATTTCCACTTCACAAGAGTTAGAATAATTCACCTTTAGTAACACGCTATGAGTCCGTTTTTATTGTTTCAGTTAGTGTCTGTCCCCTGCTTTCTTTTAGGAGACAATAAATTATTGGGCAAGTAATATTTTAGGAAGTGGAGTTTTGGCTTCATTTCATATTTATTAGATATTTACTTGAGTATCTAATTTTTGCATCATTATTCAGAGTGAGGAGTATGATATTTGTGCGACAAGTCCAAATAAGGTTAAAACTTGATAACTAAGCATACTTGGATTTCCTTAATGCTTAAGCATTAGAGACTACAAAATACTGTAGTCATTTTACCATTTCAGAGTAATTGATTTATCATTTGTATGAAAAGCCTCACATTCTAGAGAAACTGGTTGTGGTCTTGATAATCTTAAATCTGTAATGTCCCGTAATGCCCCTTGCTGCCCTTGGAGATTTCTTTTTTTAATTTTAAATTTGGAAAGGATTCATAATTCTTACCAACTGCTCTGCAGATTATACCAATCCATGTGGATTTTATGGATTGCTTTTTATGGTAGGAAGTCTTTATTTTTGTAACTGATGAAAGGATATTGTGGTTTTAAAGTGCTTTTAAAAAACTTGAGGCAATCCTATCACAACGATTTTATCGTACTCGGTTTCTTTAGGATGCCTGTACAGTTTTTTTCTGTCACTTTGAAATTAGATTGCATCTTTGAGTTTAACATATTTTTCAATTTGTTGAAATACCTTAAGTATTTTTCAACCATAGAGCTTCTTTTTAAGGGAGAATTAAACATGAAGTCTTAGATCTTAAAGCCGGTGATCCAAGGTGTGTCACTTTATGATCATGTATTGAAGTGTTGTATGGTGAAAACTTGACTAATTTATAAAATGATCAAATTACACTTGGTACAAAAAACAATGATTCAAAAGAATCATCGAATCATTTGAATAACCTCAGGAGAGAGTTATTCAAAACAAGTGTATTAATGTGTTTATTTTAGTGAATTTAAAAAACCTTCAAATTGATAGGTAATTTACTCTTGCTTTGGTTATACAGATAATTGAATTTTCTTGGGGAGAGGATATTTAGTGGTATAGGAACACTAAAAACTAGTTTCACTTTGACTCTAAGCTTAAGAGTTTTAGCACCCTTTAAGTTAGTTACAGAGGCTACGATTTTAGAATTTAAAATGCTTTAAAAATTTTTTAGATTACAAATTAGTTCTAGGTATTGAATCATTACCTGAAAAAAAAACTCTTTGGTTTTTACCTATGCGAGTCCCTAATAACAACCTCTATTTTGTGGTTGTCTCTTTTTTATATTTTGTACCCAGCGGCCCCCTACTAGTATATAAGCCATGACTTATTTAGAAAAAGCTAAGACCTCTTTCAGCCACTTTTATCAGCCTTTCTGGGTAAGTCTACTTGTCAAGTGAAAAGTGCATGTAAGGATGGAGTGATAGGGAAGGGTGTATAGTATGTATTTTAAATGCTCAGCAAAGGCCACAGGCCCTTACAGTTCTGTGAATCAAAATTTGGAATTTCATCCTTTTGGGTTGCAAACTTGGAGGTATAAGTAAGATTGCTTTGACAGTGGGAAAATAGACCTACATTGCCCAATTTCCCTAGATGGGGAAGATCTTTCTCTAGTATAGTGGCTAAACTTTTAAATCAGATTAATTCTGGAAGGCTGCATGTTGAGATTATTGTCAAGATTTATTAAGGATCTGTATGTTTGAGGCAATAAAATACTTTTATGTAAAGTAATACTTTACTCAATAAAACTTCTTACTATTTACCCCTTTCATCTCTGAAGCAGTCAGCTCTTTATAGTCTCTAGCATTCTTCTTTTTAGCTACCCTTTTGATCAAGTTTAGGGAAAGGCTTCTAATAGGTCTCAGTTTTCATGATAATTATAATTGTAATGAAACATTGTAATGCTTAGTTAAGGAAGATATGGCAACAGTAAAGAAACAAACAGATTTTAGGACTGAATATATATTGAGAGAGATTCTAAAGGGTTGTTTTACTTTAGGGAACATTGAAAGTAGCTACTTTGTTGGGTCAATTAGGGAATCCTGTGTGTATTTACTATGTATGTGCAGGACTCTTTAATGGACATTGTGGGAGACAGGAAGACAAAATGATTCCCTCTTAATCCATCTTGCATACTGCTGTGAGACTTAATGCTGAGGTGTAGGTTTTGCCATAGCTCCTGGCACAAAACTTCACTGATCTAATGTAAGCAAAGTTAGAGATTTCACCCCTTGCCTGTTGTTTTATTATTGTATAACATGATTGCTAAAATTCAGCAAATTAAAAGAACAAAGATATGTGCTTTTTAAAAAGACTTTATTTATTTTTAGAGAGAGGGGAAGGGAGGGAAAAAGAGGGAGAGAAACATCAGTGTGTGCTTGCCTCTTGTGTACCTCACACTGGGGACCTGGCCTGCTGCAACCCAGGCATGTGCCCAGACTGGGAATCGAACCGGCAACCACTTGGTTTGCAGGCCATTGCTCAGTCCACTGAGCCACACCAGCCAGGGCCGAACATTTGTTATAACATGTAGTTTCTGAGAGTCAAGAATGGAGAGGCCTAGCTTGGTGGCTCTGGCCTACAGTCTCATGAGGTTGCGGTGAAAATGTTGGCCAGCACCGCAGCCATTTGAAGGATTGATTGGGTCTAGGAACCCTTGCTTTTGGCAGGAGGTCTCAGGTAACTAACCAAGTCAGTATCTCCTAAGGGCTATTTGTGTGGCCTCAGGACATAGCTGGTTTCCCAGCGGAGCAAATAACCTGAGAGAGAGAGAGAGAGAGCGCGGGCAATGAAGAAGTCCAAGTGCCTTTTTACAATCTAAATAGACCTGCATACATTTTCATTGAGCAGATTTTTTCTCATTTTTTTCATTAATGCTCTGATATACAATAATTGCTTCAAGAAGATTTTAAAGGTTGTACCTACTTTTAGAAAGAGGGGAAAGGAGGGAGCAAGAGAGAAAAACACCAATAGGGTTGCCTCTCCTGAGCCCCCAGCTGGGGACCTGGCTGGTAACCCTGGCACGTGACATAACTGGGAGTAGAACTGGTGACCTTTTAGTTTGCAGGACGACGCCCAACCCGCTGAGCCACACCAGCCAGGGCTAATTGCTTCAGATTTTTGATGACTGAGACAGCCTTTCAAAACCAGTCAAAATGCCACAATGAATCCTTTTCTGGCTTTTAAAACTTGGCTTTAATTTTTTCTTCTTTTTAATTTGTATTCTCTATTTTTCTGTTCCTTTTATGGTTCCATTCTATAGCTGGAGGGATGTAGAATATTAATATAAAGAGCCTGTAATCTGGAGACAGAGGGCACAGTTCAGATTTAGTCTTGACTTTATTATAATTTTAAGTAATTATCTTTGAGCCTTAGCTCCTCGGCTGCAAAACAGGGTTAGCTTTTACAATTCTATGGTCCATATGAATTTCTCTGTACTACTCCTGTGAACTGCCGTGAAGAATCATGTTATTTGAATGCTTGCGTTATCCTTTTGCTTGTAGAACAGTACATTTTTTGAGAGCACAGACTGTTAGCTTGTTTAGAACTTTGCAGTATTTAACATAGTCCCTTGGATAGGGTGAATACTCAATTACTGGATATATATTGAAATACCAAGAATATAATTTCTATAAAGGAAACTAAATTAGGGCCAGCAATTGGTGCCCTTGATTGGATCATT